CCTCCAGCCTGCTTAACGGGCAAGCTCTTTGGCTACGAGTGTTCTCAGAAGCTTCTAAAGGCTAAGAAGGCTTTTTACCTTGGAGGAGATACCCATCGGGGAAGCGGACCCGGAGCAGGGTGTAGTTGTACTTCCGCATTTCCCTTTGCTCTTCCTTCTCTCGCATGGCTTTTGTCCTCAGCATTGAAGCCTTCTCCACTGCTTCTGTCCTTTAGGGAAAGGCGAGGTGAGAGGAAGCCGGAGGCTGGCGGCCCGAGCCTCCTCCGAAAGGAACCCACCGGAGGCGCTGCTCGCGCCTGAGCTCCTCGGCGGTGAGGCTGTAGAAGTCGGGGGGCAGCTCGAAGCGGGCGGCGGCAGGGGACGGTTTGAACACGCAGCGCTGCCGGTCCAAGCGCGCCCGCAGGGGCTCCGAGCTCAGCAGCTGCTCCTTGTGGTGCCTGAGCTCGTCCAGGCGGGCCAGCGCCTCCTCCCGCAGCACGTAGTACTCCTCTGTGCCCTCTGCAACACAAGGCCAGGAGCTGAGGCCCTTTACACAAGCAATGGATGAGGTTCCGCGCTCTCCAGGAAACGGGATGCATGAACAGGGAAACTGCTGCTCCCATTGCAGCCTCCCCCAGGACGTCCCCCCAGCCACACACACCCCCCTTCCAGTTTAACACTCCCATGTCTTGCCTTGTCCTGGAACAGGCAGTGTTTTTGTCTCAAACCCGACAGCCTGGAAAAACCCGTGTATCCCTTCCAAGCAGCCTATCCTCTCCTGGAAGAAAAGGCACCAAGTTGGATGTATCCCGCTCCAGGCAAGGACTCTGCTGGGCAGAGCGCCCGGGGGAGCCTTCACCTCACCTGAAACACTTTGTTCTGCAGTTTGATTTTCCGGTACTTCTCCTCCTCCGGATGGAGACAGATGTTATCCAGATACCTGCAGAGAGAGGAACGTGGCCTGGATCAGAGCAGGATGTGCTCTTCCACCGTGCAGCAAGTGACTGAGAGACCTCAGTATTCCTCACTGAAAATCACAGGAAAGCAGGACCATTTCCTCCCCAAGGCAGGCAGAAGCTGGATCCCAACCAGCAGCTCCCAAACCTGGATGAGTGCAGTGACCATTAAACCCTCGTGGAGATGCTGCCCTTACTCCAGCTGACACTGAAGATGGTTTAAGCCTTGGGATTTGGTGTCCTACAGACTCTGCCCTGGAGCACAGCAAGAGAATGACTTGCCAAGGCCCCTGGGTGCCCCTTGACCACCAGCCCCACGTACTTGGCCATGGTCTCCAGCCCCACGCGCACTCTCTCCCGGTCCTTATTGAAGGTGTGAATCTCCATGATGGAAGCTGCCACTGGATCTACGGAGAAATACTGGGAGAGAAGGAGGGAAGCTGGTCAGGGGGAGCTGCTGCTGCTCCACACAAAGGGACTGGTGTGGTTCAACCCAGCACCAGGCTGGTTCTGCCCGTGCTGGGATGGCAGCGAGGAGCAACAGGGGCAAAGTGGGGCAAAACCAACCCAAATGAGGGTTGGGCTGAAGACGTCTCATAGGTAAAGCATGAAGCAAAGGGATTTATTCCCTCCTCCCCCCTTTGGCCACTTCCAGTGTGTAATCAAGACTCGGCCACAAACCCAAGGCGCAGCAGAGCTGCTATGAGGATAACGCACGCCATCCCAGCCCAAACCGGTAAACAGGAATGCCGAGGGAGGGGCTGGCACGGGAGTTTGCATGGCTCCTTCGGGAGGCGCCTGGAGAAGGTGCGGGGCTGGAGAGGGGACCCGTGCCACGGAGCGGAGCAGGGGAAGGCCGCGAGTGAAGCACTTACGGCCTGGATGGCTTCCCTGAGGTGCTGCTCCTTCCTGTCCCTCCGGACACGCTCCCCGCTCAGGGGGCACGTGAAGAAGACCCCGGAAACGGAGAGAGCGGCGGCGCCGTCCTCCGCGGGGGAGGCCGCGTCCTGAAGGAGGCAAAGCCGGCACCGGGTGAGCACGGGGAGGGCTCGGCCTTCAATGCCCAAGCCCGGCACTGCGGGAGCGGGGGTTCCGGTGCTCCAGGGCGGACACAGGGGCTCGGAGCAACCCGCTCCGGTGGAGGCGCCCGTGCCCGCGGCAGCCTTGGAGCTGGGGGATGTCCGGAGCCCCCAGCCCAGCCTCTGCTGGGGAAGCGGCGGCTCTCACCCCTTCCTCTGCATCGGGCCCTCTCTCAGCGGCGGCCGCCTCCGCCCTCAGCTCCTTCCGCACTGCAAGAGACAACCCCGGTTACAGCGGCCGCGGGCAGCGCATGGGGGCCCCGTTCCCGTCTCCCAGCACCCGCAGCCGGCCCTACCCTGGCTCCTGATGGCCTCCTGCGACGAGGCCGCCTTGGCCTTGGGCCTCCCCTCCATGCGGGCCAGCGCCGCCGCCGCCGCCATCTGCGCCTCATCCGTGGGGCCCTGACGGGGCCTCGGGGCCGCCGCCGCCGCCTTCGGGCTCTCCCTGGGGGCCGGGGCCCTGCGCAGGAGCGAGGGCTCGGGTCAGAGCCACCGGATCCGGGCTCCCCCCCCCCCCGCCGTTACCGGAGGGTCCCCGCTGCCCTACCCCGTACCGGGACGGCTCCGACAGCTTCTGCCCGGGCCCCGCCGCCTTGAACTTGAGGTCGGCCTTGATCTCCTGGAAGAACTTGCGCATGGCGGGACCGGGATGGGACCGGGAGGGGACCGGGATGGAACCGGGATGGAACCGGGAGGGGACCGGGATGGAACCGGGAGGGGACCGGGATGGAACCGGGATGGGACCGGGGCCGCCGCGCCCGCCCGCGTCACTGCCAGCGGAAGGGGCGTGTCCCCGGAACCGCTCTGCGCTGCCGGCGCTCCGTGACCCCCGCGGTCCTCCGGGGCGCAGGGAACGGGAGGGGACCCCCGGGCCACCACAGGGTGCCCATGGATAGGGATAGGGACAGGGACAGGGATAGGGATAGGGACAGGGACAGGGCTAGGGACAGGGACAGGGATAGGGACAGTGATAGGGATAGGCATAGGGACAGGGATAGGGACAGGGACAGGGATAGGGACAGGGATAGGGACAGGGATAGGGACAGGGATAGGGATAGGCATAGGGACAGGGATAGGGACAGGGACAGGATAGGGACAGGGAAAGGGACAGGGAAAGGGACAGGGACAGGGATAGGGACAGGGACAGGGATAGGGACAGGGATAGGGACAGGGACAGGGATATGGCACAGCCTGGGATATGGCACAGCCTGGGATATGGCATGGAGCCGTGGGATGGGTCGGGTTGGAAGGGACCTTAAAGGGACGTCCCCTCCGGGCGCTGCCCGCCCATCACCGCCCGCTGCCCCTGGGGGCCGCAGTCCCCCTGCGGAGGCTTCGTCCCGGCCGTGGGTTGGGGTTGGGGCTGGGGTTGGGGATGGGGATGGGGTTGGGGTTGGGGACAGGGCCCACAGTGCCCCCAAAGCACGTGCAGAGGAACCGGGTCCCATTAAAACCAGGTTTAGGAATCGAGCTTCTGGGCAGACTGAGCCATAGCCTATAGCCTGACCCGCACCCTATAGCCTGACCCGCACCCTATAACCTGACCCGCACCCTATAGCCTGACCCGCACCCTATAGCCTGACCCGCACCCTATAACCTGACCCGCACCCTATAACCTGACCCGCACCCTATAACCTGACCCGCACCCTATAGCCTGACCCGCACCCTATAGCCTGACCTGCACCCTATAGCCTGACCCGCACCCTATAGCCTGACCCACACCCTATAGCCTGCCCCATAACCTACAGCCTGACCCACACCATATAGCCTGACCTGCACCCTATAACCTGACCCGCACCCTATAACCTGACCCATAACCTACAGCCTGACCCATAGCCTATAGCCTGACCCGCACCCTGTAGCCCTGGTGCATAACATATAGCCCTGCTCTTCATCCTCCAGCCCTGACCCATAACCGGTAGCCTTACCCATCGCTTATGGTGCTGACCCTCACGCAGTAGCCCTGGCCACTTCCCTATGGCCCTGGCTCATATCTATAGCTTGACCCATACCCTATAGCCCTGGCCCATAACCTATAGCCCTAGCTCATAGCCTATAGCCCTGGCCCATAATCTATTGCTTGACTCACACTATAGCACTGACTCATACCCTATAGCCCTGGCCCCTAACCTATAGCCATAGCTCATAGCCTATAGCCCTGGTCCCCTCTCTATAGCTCTGGCCCATAACCTGTAGCCTGACCTACACCCCATATTCCTGACCCCCTTCCTATAGCCCTATCCCATAGCCTATAGCTCTATCCCATAGCCTATAGCCCTACCCCATAGCCTATAGCTCTATCCCATAGCCTATAGCCCTACCCCATAGCCTATAGCTCTATCCTACAGCCCTATCCCATACCCTATAGCCCTACCCCATAGCCTATAGCTCTATCCCATAGCCTATAGACCTATCCCATAGCCTATAGCTCTATCCCATAGCCTATAGCCCTACCCCATAGCCTATAGCTCTATCCTACAGCCCTATCCCATACCCTATAGCCCTACCCCATAGCCTACAGCTCTATCCCATAGCCTATAGACCTATCCCATAGCCTATAGCTCTATCCCATAGCCTATAGCTCTATCCTACAGCCCTATCCCATACCCTATAGCCCTATCCCATAGCCTATAGCTCTATCCTACAGCCCTATCCCATACCCTATAGCCCTACCCCATAGCCTACAGCTCTATCCCATAGCCTATAGCCCTATCCCATAGCCCTGACCCACCCACTGTATCCTGCCCCATAGCCCCCGCCCTGTCCCCACCCCACACTCCCGGCCCCCCCCCGCCCCCTCTGGCCACGCCCCTCAGCGCCCCCTCTCCTCGGCGCCTCTAGCGGCGCGGCCCAATCCCGTTATCCCGCCGTGCCTTCTCCTCGCTCCTACTGGATGAGAGCGCTGAGCGGCGCGGCGCAGAGCCAATGGGAGCTGGCGCCGCGGGCGGGGGCGGGACATCCTGCGGGCCGGGCCGCCGCCGCCGCCGCCGCGCCGCTGCCCGGTGGTGCCCGCGGCCTCCGCCGCCCGCGGCCGCCATGCCGCACAGCTTCAAGGCCGGGGACCTGGTGTTCGCCAAGATGAAGGGGTACCCGCACTGGCCGGCACGGGTGAGCCCGCGGCGCCGCGCGGGGGGCACCGGGGGCGGGCGGGCAGCGGCGCGGGCCCGCTCCGCAGTGGAGGTGCCATAACGGGACCGGGGCCGGGGCCGGGCCGCGCTGCCCCGGGATGGGGCTCGGTGGAGGCGCCCGACGTGGGGCGGACGGAGCGGACATCCCATAGCGGGGCTGGTGCCGGGAGGAGGGCGTGGTGCCGGGCCCGAGCATCCCGTACCGGCACGGGAGGGGGCACAAGGGGCTGTGCGGGACCCGGTACCGGGTGTCCCGGAGCGGGAGGGGGCACAAGGGGCTGTGCGGGACCCGGTACCGGATGTCCCGGTGCGGGAGGGGGCACAAGGGGCTGTGCGGGACCCGGTACCGGGTGTCCCGGAGCGGGAGGGGGCACAAGGGGCTGTGCGGGACCCGGTACCGGGTGTCCCGGAGCGGGAGGGGGCACAACGGGGTGTGCGGGACCCGGTACCGGCTGTCCCGGAGCGGGAGGGGGCACAACGGGGTGTGCGGGACCCGGTACCGGGTGTCCCGGAGCGGGAGGGGGCACAACGGGGTGTGATGGACCCGGTACCGGATGTCCCGGAGCGGGAGGGGGCACAACGGGGTGTGATGGACCCGGTACCGGGTGTCCCGGAGCGGGAGGGGGCACAAGGGGCTGTGCGGGACCCGGTACCGGGTGTCCCGGAGCGGGAGGGGGCACAAGGGGCTGTGATGGACCCGGTACCGGGTGTCCCGGAGCGGGAGGGGGCACAACGGGCTGTGATGGACCCGGTACCGGGTGTCCCGGAGCGGGAGGGGGCACAAGGGGCTGTGCGGGACCCGGTACCGGGTGTCCCGGAGCGGGAGGGGGCACAAGGGGCAGTGCGGGACCCGGTACCGGATGTCCCGGAGCGGGAGGGGACCGCACCGGGAGCTGCCCTGCGATGGGACCGGGCGCTGCCGTGGGCGGCTGCCCCCAGCACCGCACTGGCCCGGGGACCCGGGGTGAGAATGGGGTGTTCCGAGCGGAATGGGGGACCCCGCTCCCCGTGCTGGGGTGGGGGCTCAGCGCTGGCGCTGCTGGGATGGGGCCGGGCACCCCGATGGAAGCACCCGCGCAGGATGGGGGGTACCGGCATGGAGAAGCCCCCAGCCTGTGCCGGGGGTCCTGCGTGGGCACCTGTGCAGGGAGGGCGCCAGCGCCGGGCTGGGGGTCCCACACCGGTGCCTGTGTGATGGGGGGGGTGACCTGGGGGACCTGTGCCCAGGAGCTGTTTGACAGCCCCGAGCCCTCCCGTTCCAGCCGCACCCAGGGGAGACCCTGACCCCCTTGGGGTGATGGCGCGGGACCTCAGCCCTGGTTCACCCCCGGCACCCCTGCCCTGGGGATCCTCCCTGCTGCTGGGGAGGGACCAAAGGACCCCTCCTCTCCTGGTGCTCCAGCACCCGAACCCCATAGGGGTGTCCCTCACATCCCTTCCCTTCACCCTCCATCCTCATCCTCCCACTGCCCCTTCCCAGCTCCCTGCCTGGACATCACCCACCCTCTGTCTGGGGGGGGCACAGAGCAGGGGTCTGGGGCTCTGTCCCTTGTCACGGATGGGGGCACACACGTGGGTGCTAAAGCAGTTCGGGGGTGATGGAGCGCGTGTGGCCGGGTGACAGCATTGTGGTGCCTGGAGGAGATGCAATGGAGCAGGGCAGGACGTGCTCGCTGGGGGGCTCGGATGGGGCCCGTGGTGGTGCCTGGTGAGGCAGGTTCATGCGCTGAAGGTACCCGATGGGAAGACGCTGGCAGGTACCGGGGAGGCTCAGGGTGCTGGAGACGACGCTGCTTGGCTGCACCGCGCTGTGACTGGGATGCCATCCCCGCCATCCCCGCCGTGCCCGTGCTCTGCTGTCGTAGCTGGGGCCGAGAGGACTCGGTCCCTCCACGCTGCGGCCCCTCCTGCTTTAGCTGCTTGCTCCTTTGGGGAAGGCTCCCCTCCGAAGACCTCCCCAGCACCCCGAGGCTCCCGACCAGGCGGAGCGGACGGACGGGCGCTGGATGAAGACGGGGCGGCCCCGGGGCCTCTCCTGCAGCCGGTCTCCAGCCAGGAAGGACCCTCTGGAGCCGGAGGGGGCTTCCCTTGGGCGATGGATCTCTGGGGAGTAGCACAAGGCTTCCCTGGGCGCTGAGCCCGGCGGTGGAGCGACGACCTCGCGCCGAGCTCATCCACGAGGATCCCTTCTGTTACTCTTGTAGAGATCCCGCGTGTCCGTGCTTGCCTGCGAGGGGACGCTCCGGCTGCTCTCTCTGACCACCCCCTGCTTTGGGTTTCCTTTCAGATCGATGACATCGCGGACGGCGCCGTGAAACCCCCCCCGAACAAGTACCCCATCTTCTTCTTCGGCACCCACGAGACGTAAGCGCTGCCTCGCTCCCCGCTCCGGGCTGCGCCCCCGCTGCCGCCCCGGCCTCACCTCTGCTTTGTTTCTCTCCAGCGCCTTCTTGGGCCCTAAAGATCTCTTCCCTTATGAGAAATACAAAGACAAATATGGGAAACCAAACAAGAGGAAAGGCTTCAACGAGGGGCTGTGGGAAATCCAGAACAACCCCCACGCCAGTTACAGTGCCCCCCCGGTGAGTGCGGCGCCTGCCTCCCTCCTCTCTCTGCTTCTCATTGCTGCCGTGCCGATGTGCTTCCAGCTCCCAGACTGCCTTCCTCAGGGCTGCTTCCCTTCCCTGCCCTCTCCCTTCCTCCTCCTCCTCTGGAGGAAGACGCCTTTGCCCCAGCTTTGAGGTGGATCCGGGCTTGTGCTTTGTGCTGCTTGCCCAAGCCGTGGAGGAGTTCATTGCCACAGAGAACACTTGAGGCTTGCTCAGCTCGAGGCTCCTGCGTGCGAACTGCTGGGCGCTCCCTGCTCTTCATCCATCTCTGAGGTCCTGAGCCAAAAGCCCCTGGGCTGCTCCTTCGGTGAGCTTCAGAGCAGGCCAGGAGATGGCTCTTGGCCGTCAATTGCTTGTGTGGGCATTTCATAGCCATGGCTGTGTGGTGCAATCTCGTGCGTAGCGATCTTCAGAGGAGGCGTCCAACGCGGCTTCACAGGCAGCTGGTCTGAGGAGGCAGAGGGAGGTTAAGGTGGGCTGCGAGGACAAGGGGGTCTGCAGGCAGCTGGGCTCTGGGGCCGAGCCCCTCGGCTGTGCTGCTGCCAGGGCAGGACACAGGATGTGGTTTGAGCTGCAGGAGATGCTCGGGCCCAAGGCTGCAGATGTAGGGGAAGGTGAGGCCATGGAGGTGCCCGAAGAGCTGGAGAACAGCTCCAGTTGGGCTGTTGGGAGGTTGGTTGGCAGCACTTGCATTGTGCAGGGGCTCCACAAGAAACCTCTGGTGAGGGCCCTGCTCTGATGAAAGGACCGTGGGGACACCAGTGGCCCCCCCAGGGCTCACCAACACCAACTGCATCTTGAGGCCACACTGCTTGGAGAAGCAGAAGAAGAGACTGAAGGAGAGGTCTTTGTTGGCTTTGGACCCAAGTGAAGCGAGGTGCCGGGATCAGTGAAGGACAAGGAAGCAGGAAGGCTCCAGTGCTGGAAGAATCCTGGCTTTGGGAACACCGACCCTGCCGTGCACGAAGACAGTGAATCAGTCTGGAAGATGGGAGCTTGGATGCGATGTCCTTGCACGAGGAACCTCCTGATGGGCTGGGGAGAAGTCAGGAGACCTTTCCTACATGGGATCAAGGGAGCAGGACACGGGAGATGCCAACCGGGACGAAGGCTGGTCGCCATGCTGGACTTCTCACGGGGACCTTTCCAGTGGGGAAGGTGTGTGAAGTGCTGTGGGGTGAAGCCACCCGAGGAGGAAGAGGCCTGGTGGCCACCGGAGGGGAACGCTGGAGGCACCGTGAGGGCTGTGGAGGGCTGGGGTCTGCTTGCCCAGGAGGGGTTGTCAGGATGAGGTTTCTGCAGGGTCTTTGGCAGTGGGTGCAGGCTGAGCAGGGAAGGTGCTGCTGGTGGTCTCAGGGTGCTGTGTGAGGGGTTTGCTGAGGGTCTCCGTGAAGGGCTCCTAGTGCTGCCCAGAGCCACGCTGAAGGGTTCTGTGCCACACACCTCTGCTCACACCCCTCTGCTCCATGCTGCCATCCATCGCTCGCCACCCTCCTGTGCCCCTTCTCCTCTCCCTGCTCCGCGTGCAGCCCCTCCAGGCCCTAACCCACCTCTTGTCCCCGTGTCTGCAGCCCGCGAGCTCCTCGGACAGCGACGTGCCCGAGAACGACCCCATGGGGGGAAGCGATGCTGGGGACGATGAGGAGGACGCTGCCATGGCCGGAGTCACCACGGAGAAGATGGAAAGCGATGAGGACTCGGACGGAGGCAGCGACCACAGCGGGCTCAAGCGGAAACCGCTGCCTATGAAGGTGGGTGCGGGCTGAGGGGGTGCCACGCGGTGGGGACAGGAGGTGGCCTGGTCCTTGGGTCCACCACTGAGCTTCCCTCCACCCCACAGCACGGCAGGAGGTGGTGGTGAAACCAGCTCCCTCTGGATCCTCCCATGGGAAGTGGGGGTCAGTGCCTGCCTCCTGTTGTCTGTGAGGTGGTGCCGTGGCCGAGCCCTGGTGCAGTTTGCACCCTAGAGAAGCCAGATCTCTCCTGAGTGCCCATGGCTGCTCTTGCGGGGCCGGTCAGGAAGAGCTGGGCCACCCCCTTCACTGCCTTTGTGCTGTGGGTGGAGGGGAATGAGCTGCTCTCATGTTGTCATTCCTCACACACCAGATGCCAGTGGCAAAACGGCCTCGGAAGTCCTCCAGTGACCTGGATCAGGGCAGCCCCTCCGGGACGGAAGAGGAGAACTCGGAATCGTCCTCCGAGTCGGAAAAGAACAGTGACCAGGTGAGAGGAGATTGGGATGTGCTGGTGGGGAAAGGGCTGGAGCATGGCTGGAAGGAGCCTCCCTGGCTTCTGAAAGCATCGTGAGACTCTTCCCTGGTTTTTCCTGTGTTTTCCTGCAGGACTTCACTCCCGAAAAGAAGCCGGTGGCCAGGGCTCCACGGAGGATGCCGGCGGTGGGGAGGAAGAAGAAGGTAAAAGACCCTGAGTCTGTGGTGCTGCGTGAGGGGGGTCTTTGGGGTCTGCACTGCCTGGAGCAGGGGTGCAGGGCTCTGGATGGAGGCTCGGTGCTGGGAGGGACCTGGTGGGTGCCTCAGTGGCCTGGTTGCACCCTGTGGTGCTGTGCTCCAGCCCCACTCTGTGCCTGCAGAAAGTGGAGTCCGGCTCCGACTCAGACTCCAAAGCGGACTCGGATTCGGAGCTGGGGAATGCGACTGTGAACATGGCCAAGTCAGACTCCAACTCGGATTCGGACTCGGATGTGTCTGTGAAGAAGGCTCCACGGGGCAGGAAGCCAGGTAACACTGAGGAGGCCACTTCTGCCACTGCGGGGTCCCTGGGGGACTGGGGAGATGCGAGGCTCTGGGGGCTCCTGAAGCTCGGGGGCTCCTTCTGCCGCAGACCCCTTCCAGCCCATCTCAACAGCCCTCTGCCCCCTCACTCCGGGGCTGTTTGTTATTAACAGAGGGACAGCCAGGGCTCCTGCTGAGCATCTCCCCGTTGTCTTGCAGCTGAGAAACCCCCTCCCAAGCCCCGGGGCAGGAAACCGAAGCCTGAGCGTGTCCCAACCAGCTCCAGCAGCGAGAGGTGAGACCAACGGGGAGCCATCACCCTCGGGGCTGGGCTGGAGCCTCACCCCGTCCCCTTTGCACAAGGGGTCCAAGCGAGCTCCATCCCCTGCAGTGACAGTGACAGCGACGTGGACCGCATCAGCGAGTGGAAGAGGAGGGATGAGGAGCGGCGGCGGGAGCTGGAGGAGAAGAGGAAGAGGGAGCAGGAGGAAGAGATCCGTCGGCTCCGGGAGCAGGAGAAGGAGGAGAAAGAGAAGAGGAAGGAGAAGGCAGAGAAGAGCGAGGAGGTGCACTCGGACTCAGACAGCAGCGCAGAGGATGAAGTGGCCAAAAAGGGCCGGAAAGGCCGGGCCAAGGCCCCTTCCTCCTCGGACTCTGAGCTGGAGCTGGAGAAAGAGGTGAGTGCAGAGCTGGGCACAAGCAGGCAGCCCATCAGCAACCTGGCAGGGACCACAGGCAGTGGCAGGGACCTTGCATTACACTGAGGTTGCCCATGCAGCCCTGGGAAGGGTTGTGTCCATAGGGACGTCCATGCTTTGCACATGGGAGCTCTCCCCCTGGCCCAGGATACCCATCCAGCTCTGGGTGCAGCATCTCCGCAATGCTCTCCCTCTCACCACATTGTATTTTCTCTGCTGTCCTCCCTGGGGCCTGGGGGGGCATCAGCTGGATGGGAAGCACAGGAAGGGTTGTGGAGGGCTCTCGGGAGCCGCACTGCCCATGGGCAGAGGTGAAGTCCAGTTCGTCCCCATGGAGGGGGACTGGGGAAGCAGCACAAAGATGCTGATGTGTGGGAGCACCCACGGGTCAGCCGTTCGGGTGCTGCCTGCTGTTGGAGGACAGCTCCAGGTACCAGGACATTCCCTTTTGGAGCAGCACTCACTGTGCTGCAGGCTGGGTCCTTTCTGCCCCTGCACCCTGCAGACTGGCAGCAGTGGGGTGGCCGCTGTCATTGCTGGCCATGGCTGTGGCATCTCTCCCCCTGCCGCAGGGAGGGCTCAGCCTCTCGCCTGCATTGTTCTCTCCTCCAAGGTAAAGAAGCCAGCGAAGAAGCAGCCCTCGGAGTTGTCAAGGAAACCGAATCAGAAGGAGAAGAGGGGCCGAGCAGAGGAGAAGCCACGGAACAAGTCAGCACCTCCTCCTGCAGCTTTGTCCTTGGGGACGGTGCTGTCGCTCTGCTGCTGCCCAGCCCATCCCTTGGGTGCGGATGGGGCTCCCGTGGAGCTGCCCCGTGCCAGCAGCACCCATGGAGGGGCCAGGTCCCTTCCCTGCTGCCTCCTAGAGCTGGAGGGGCTGGAGGAGGTGTTGGGGGACCAGGCTGAGGAGCTTCCCTGCTGGTTTCCATCTCCTAGAGGGCGATGTTTGGGGCTTTGCCTTGCTGCAGTCACTGGGAGCTGGGCCATGGGGGAGCTGCTGCCTCAGGGCTCTGCTGCCTGGGAGCTGGGATGTGTGTGTGGCATCATGGCAGGGCTCTGGGGTGCACACCCGAAGCGCCATCACCCTCCCGGTGAGCCCAGCAGCGAGCAGGGGCTTCCCATGAGCAATCTTCCCTCTTCCTTTACCTCCACAGACCCTTGAAAGTGGAACGAGGCCGGAAGAAATCCGACCTGATCCCTGAAAGGAGGATGGAGAAGAAAAAGGGTGAGGGCCCCGTTGCTCACCATCACAGGCGGAGAGAAGGGATCCAGGGCTGGTTTCCCCCATCCCAGGGAAGAGGAGGGATCTTTCCCGCAGGGATCAGTGTGGTGGTGCTGGGGCCTTGGCCTCGTGTTGGGAAGTGCAGGGCGTGCAGAGGCATCAGGGAGCTTCCTACAAACATCCCCAACCCCTGCTCCTCAGAGAGGCCCCTGAGGTTGTGTTTGACCTTGGAGATGGAGGAGGAAACCAAGCCCTTGCTGGGGGAGAGGTCCCGTGCTCTGCCCTGGTGGCCTCACGCCACTGAGGTCTCTTTCTTGCTCCAGAGCCCACAGTGGAAGAGAAACTTCAGAAGCTTCACAGTGAGATCAAGTTTGCGCTGAAGGTGGATAACCCGGTGCGTTACCTGCTGCAGGCTCGGCCACCATGGGGGCTCAGCCTGGCTCCCAGCCCTGCGGGTGCTCAGCCTGGCTCCCAGCCCTGCGGGGGCTCAGCCTGGCTACGCCTCTTCTTGCCTTGCTGGCTGACAGGAGGGGAGGGTGCTGCCCCAGGTGCCCATGGGGAGCCTTCCAGGCCCCTTCTGATCTCGGTGTCACCCTTGCAGGACATCAAGCGGTGTCTAAATGCACTAGAAGAGCTGGGCACACTCCAGGTCACCTCTCACATCCTCCAGAAGCACACTGACGTGGTGGCTACGCTGAAGAAGGTAGGACAGAGGCTTCCTCCTCTCTGCAGGGAGCCAGGAGCCTGCTTGGGCCGCCCCAGCCCTGAGCCCATCCCTTCTCCTTCCTGGTGCAGATCCGTCGCTATAAAGCGAACAAGGACGTGATGGAGAAAGCTGCTGAGGTCTACACCCGGTTGAAGTCGCGTGTGCTCGGACCAAAGATGGAGGCGATCCAGAAAGCCAACAAAGCCGGGCCTGAGAAGGACAAGGGGGAGGCGGAGAAGGGGCAGGAGAAGCTGGCAGGAGGGGAGCCCCGCAATGAGAAGGGGGACGAGGAGCCGAGTGCCGGTACCGCTGCTGCGTGGCTCGGGGTGGCCCCTGCTCCGTGCGGGCACGGAGCCATCCGGGGCATCTCCCGTCCGCTGGGGCCAGGGGCAGGGCTGGCTCTCGGCGCTGCAGGGGTTGGCAGCCCCGGGGGTTAGCTCCAGGCCCTTGTTGCCGGGGTGGGACGGCACTGACCAGGCAGCGCTGGTGGCACTGGGAGCAGAGGGCGAAGCTCAGAGCCTTTGGGTGCCTCTGGGCTGGGGTTGGCTCTGGGTGACTGCTCGCAGGCACCAGGGAGCTGCAGGACCGGAGACGCCCTTGGCTGCTGGCTCCGTGACCCAGAGCTTCCAGCCCCTGCCTGGGGCCGTCCCGGGGATGCTGCAACAGCATTCCCAGAGGAGCTGCTGGGGAAAATCCGCCCCGACGCCTGCTTTGGGCCGGGGGGGTGGAGGCTTTGGGGCCCTGCTCGTAGGTGTCGGGGTCAGGGCAGACCTGGGGTCCCCCCGTGCTCAGCTGGGTGTCCTGTGCCTGGATGGGGACAACCTGTGGCCGTGGGTCCCTGGGATGGATGAGGTTCACGGTGAGGACCTGTGCATCTGAGGCTCTCCCTTCCCTTCAGACTTGTCAGGTCCTGTGAATGGTGAATCCCTGTCCCAGAAGGCTGAGGGCACAGAGGAGAAGGACAAAAGCCAAGGGCTGGGAGCCAGCGAGCTGGAGGCATCCACGGAGGAGCCCCACAACAAGTGAGCATGGGGGGGGACCCCTGCATGTGGAGCACGGCCAGGCTGGGCTCGCACAGGGATGATGGGGGGGGCTCAGGGGTTTCCCAGCTTGGGAATGAGCCCGGGATGCGGGAGAGGGGCTGCAGGGGCTGAGGCCTCTGCTCTCGCCAGCAGCGTGCAGGACTACGCCAAGGCCGAGCGAGCCGTGGTGGAGGCTGTGGAGGATGTGGAGGAGAGCTGAGGAGGAGGAGGCAGAGGGGTTGCGAGGGGGAGCCTTCCTCTGCTCGGGTCACTGCACGCCGCGCAGCAGCTGATGTCCTTCGGTCTCGTCCCATGCCCCGGCCCCGGCGGGGCTCTGCTGGTTTGTCTGTGTTCGTCCCCTCGCTTGGTCCTGTTCTGTTCCCTTGGGCTTGGTTCATTTGGGTTGGTTTTTGGGTTGGTTTTTTTTCCTCCTCCCTGATTTCTCGTGATTTCAACCCACATGAAATGAATATAAAGGGGTTTTTTAATGAAGCCCAAGCGTGTGGTTCTTGAGGCTCTGCTGCCCGGGGCTGCCACTAGGACCCCCCCACCACCACCCCAGGCCCCTGCCTGCTGGGCAGCAGCAGCTCTGCCCCTTTGCCTGCTCTTTTGCCTCGATCCAAGGCTTTTGTCCATGGAAAACAAGGATGTTCCAGCTCTGAGTCCTCTTTGTGGCCATGCCCCGGCCCCGCTCAGAGGCTGCTCTTGCTGTAACCCTGCCCTGGGGAGAGGTTGGTTCCTTTTTGCTTCTCCGGGGCTGATTTCATGCTCCATAAACAAAACCCAAATAAAACCTTTTGCCTCTTGCCCAATAGGGCAGGGGCAGGCGGGGGGGGGGTGCTGTGCTCAGCCCCATCCTCACGCTATGGAGATGGGGAGGGACATTGAGGGAACCCAGCTCCTGATGCTGGGGATGGCAGATGGGGACAGAGGGCTGCATCCCTGTGCCCCTTGAGGGGCTGGTTAAGCCCCACACTGCCCCATCAAGGTGTAACCCCCCCTTGGGCCAGCACCCAGGGGTATTTGGATGAGCTTTAAGATCTCTTCCAACCCGAACCATGCCCTGATTCCATGATTTAAAGGCAGATCCAGGGTCATTCCATTGGTGTTCCCCCACCTCCCCCTTGCCTTGGGCCGTTGCAGCCCGCATCGTTGCAGAGGGAGCATGGAATAGCACCAAGATATGGACGTGAGCTTGAGCAGAGCCTTGTTGTTGGGTCGAGGAGGGTTTCAACCCTCACCCGGAGCTGGAGCTGGTCCAGGCTGGAGCGCGCTTCCCTCTACCGCAGCAGCGGGTGCTGGAGCAGGTACGGCACCAGAGCCGCCCAGGCTTGGGCCACCATCTCCCAGCCTCGGGCCACCATGGTCCCCAGCAGCTCCCGCAGGGACCGTGCCTGCCTGAAGGGGTTCTGGACCTCGCCGATGCTGTGCCGTGCCCGGCGCAGGGCCTGCTGCACCGTGTCCTGCAACCGCTGCGCCAGCAGCACCGCGGGCTCCTGCTGCAGCTCCTCTGTGTTCTCTGGGGAGGGGGGAAATGGCACTTTGGGCATGGGGGGGCACACATATGGTGGGGGGTCCCCCCCTGCAGATGGTGGCTGCAACCAAGGGGCTGCTAGTGCTGGTCTGGATGGATGGGGGTCCCCAAGCAAAGTGGGAACTTCAGCTGCAGCATCCCAAGAGGGGCACAGGAGCCCACAAGATGGGGCCTTGGTGCTCACCTCCTTTGAGGGGTGCATAGGGCACCCTGGGGCTACAGTGCTGCATCCCAAGACCGTGCCCTGTGGCTGCTGCCACCGGATGGGGTAGAGCAGGGTGCTGCCGCTGCTGCATGGGATGGGGGCAAGGGGGGTCCTGTTTGCTCCCAGCCTATGATGGGAGCATCATCAATACAATGAGCAGGTCCTGTCCTTAAGCTGGGGGTGTCCCTGGTCCCACAAGGGCAGGGGCCAGGCAAGGGGGCCTGGGGGGAGGTCAGGGGGGCCCTGTTCACTCACCCTCAGCCATGGCGAAGGGAGGCCAAGGCCAGTGTCCTGCGGGTGCCGTGGGGTCCTGGGGGCTCAGCACCCTCCTGCCTCTCTGTTCCAAGGCTCAGGCGCTGTGAGGTCACACAGGGCTATGACATCATCACCTTCCTCAGTGCCGTTTGGGGTCGATGGAACCATGGGGACCCTGCTGCCCCCCCACCAAACCACAACTCGGGCTCATGCAAAACCAGAGTTTATTGCTTTGGGAGCCGTCCCCGAGCGCACAGACCAGGGAGGGCTGAAGGCACTGAGGATGAGGGGACAAGGGGGGGGCTCTGACCAGGGGACAGAGGTCACCCCAAAGGCACTTGGGAGCACCAAGGCACATCAGTGCAGCCCCAGCACAGGCGGGCACTAAGGTTATGGGCAATGGGGGCCGGGCAGGGGGTAGCAGATGCTCTACTGCGGCTGGGCAGGGTTGGAGCAAGCACCCCGCGGATGGGGCAGGCGCTGCTACTTCAGCTCCAGCTCCACCACGCTCTGGCCCGAGGGGGCGAAGGGGCCCACGAGCCAGGTCAACGGGGGGTTGCGGGCCACGCGCTCCACCAGCTCGTCCATCAGCTGCCGCGCTCGGGCGGCGTTGGCACGAGCCTGGGCCAGCACCGTGCCCGTCACGTCCTGCAGGGAGGCGGCGGAGCCCAGCGCCGCCCGCAGCCCCTCCACGCTGTGCCGGACCTGCGCCGCCGTGTCCTGCAGGCTGCCGGGGAGCCCCTGCAGGCTGGAGACCAGGGGCTGGCAGGAGCTCTGCAGCTGCTGGGTCAAGCCCTGCAGCAGGGCCAGCGCGCGCGACTCCACCGCCTGCAGGGGACAACGGCGCCGTGAGGGGACGGGGACCCCATGGGGAGATCCCCCCCCAAATCCTCCACCTACCTCCGGCGGCACCAGCTCCTTGCCACTGCCCGGCTGCTTCTTGCTCCACTCCAGCCACAGCTGCTGCAGCTTCTCCTGCCCCCCCTGCAGCTTCTGGTCCATGCCCTGCTTGAGGTGCTCCACCTGCGGGGAGACAGAGCCTGGGCTGGAGGCGCTGCTGCGGGCACAAAGCGGGGCAGGGGCACGGGCACGCATGGGGATGGGTCCTACCAGGTCGAGGGTGCCCTGGAGCTGGGCCAGCACCTCCTGGCTGCTGTGGCGGGCGCTCTGCAGCTTGCCCAGGGAGTGCTGCAGCGCCCGGTGCCGCAGCTTGGTCGAGAGCGAGCCCAAGCGCACGAAGTAGCTCTGCTGCTGCCTCTGCTGCTCCGGCTCGAAGCCCTCCACGGCCGTGGCCAGCTTGGCTGCGGGACAGAAGCCGCATGCCCACGTAGAGCCAATGGCCCTGCTCAACCCCTACCCACGGGGCATCCTCAGGGGGTTGAGCTCCTTACCCAGCTCCTCATCCGTCATGGGCAGGTAATGGTCCACCAGCTCCTCCGACTTCTCCAGCACGGAGCCCATCCCGCTCACCACCATCTGGCCCACAGTGGAGCCCATGACGGTGCTGACGCCGCTGCTCACCGCGGACTTGGTGAGCTCCACGCTGCCCTGCACGGCCCCTTTGGTCATGTCCATCACACCCGTCACCCGGCTGGTCACCGCGTCCTTGGCCCCGGCCACGGTGCTGGTCAGGACATCCTTGGCCCCTGTCACCGTGGAGGTCACCAGCTGCTTGGTGTCCGAGATGAGCTGGGGGGCACACACACAACCCTCTGTTAAGCAGTTCGGGGAGGGGGGGCACACACTGAGCCCACCCAGCACGGTACCTTCTCCGGGGGCTGCTGCAGGATGGGCAGCTTCTCCTCCAGCTTGTCCAGCCCTTTGCAGGCGTATTCGTTGGCGGTGGACACTGGAGACGGGAGCACAGACGGGTTTAACACCCTGCTGGGTGCCGGAGCGCTGATAGGGACAGGCCTTGGGGCACCCCAAAGCTCATGGGGTGCCCCTGTATCCCCCCCCCCCAGCCTTCTCCAGCCTTTTGTATTCATTAGAGGTGGAAACTACAGATAAGAATCCGGCTTTTCCCTGCCCTGCTGCCCCTCCAGGGGCCAGGTTTGGGGTCGTGTGTCCCCCCCCAGCCCCACTCACGCTGCGGCTCCAGCTTGCTGAGGATGGGCTGTGCCCCACTGACCGCCGCCGCCGTCAGCGTCTTCACCCCCTTCTCGGCAGCATCGCAGACGGAGCGCACGTAGGGGTGGCTCTCCTTGGTGGAGCTGTACGCCGTGGACACCATCCCGTAGGCCGAGCTCACCAGCGGCAGGCTGGCCACCCGCGACCCGATGCTCTGCGGGCACCAGAAGGACGGGGGGGGGGGGGGGTAACGATAGCGCCCCAAATCCCGTAGGGAATAAGGGACCCCCAACGCCCCGAGGATGTCTTCGGGGGACTCAGGTGCCCCAGAGCAGGGACCCCCCCGGACCCTTCCCTCTCCGCACTGACCTGCGCCTCCTCAGCCTTGGGCTGCTCCGTCCCGGGCTCGCTGGCGGCCATGGCGGGGCTGGGGAAGGGGAACCGTGAAGGGGAGAACCCCACGTTACCCCCCCCCATCCCCGCCCGGGGCAGCCCCCGCGGGCCGGGCCCCCGCTCACCTCCGGAAGCTCCGCTCCAGGCTCGCCCCTTTCCTCCCCTCCGACCTTTATAGAGCGGGGCCCTGCCCCGAGCGCATGTGACCGGGACCCGCCCCGCGGGGCCGGCCCGGGGCGGTCCGGGAGCCCCGAGCCAGGGGGCAGCGGCGGGGCCCGGGGCTGCAGCGACCCCGACCGGGCCCCGCGGCCGCTGCAGGATCCGGTTCCGCGGTCCGGGATGCGCCCACCCCCACCTCCAGGGACCGGATCCCCCCCCGACCGCATCCCTCCGGGACCGGATCCCCGGGACGGGGCTGCGCTGCCCCCCCCCCCTCGGCAAGGACCGGATCTCCCCATCCCGGCTGCACCGACGGCCCCTGACACCGAACCCTTCAAACCCCCCTCCCATCGGGAGCATCCCAGTGCCCCCCCACCTGTCCCCGTTCAGACCGGTGCCGGTGGTTGCCGGCGGCAGCAGGACGGGCAGTCCCGGGGTCCTGTGGGTCCTGTGGCCACGCTGCTCCCCGGTGTGAGGGAGACCCAGAGCCCAGCCCCGCCGCGGTGACAACGGGGCAAAGTTCGGTGCCACACGGCCGCGGGTCACAGTCCAACAGCACCGGCACTCTCCACGCAGCACCCACCAGCACCCATCCGGCTCTCCCCATCCGCGCAC